GGGGCGTTGAGCCCAGGGCCAGGGTGTCACGGGGAGGAGGCAGCCAGAAATGGTGCACCCCGCTGCGGCTGGCAGAGCAAGCCAGCCCCACGCGTGCACGAAAGGAAGCTTCAGGGAAGCTTCCTTTGCTGCATGCTTTGCCTCGTAACGAATTTGTATAACATTTGCAGGCGCTTACGCGCAGCATGCCGAAACCGTCGATAGGCTCCTGAGCTAACTCTGCGCTAACTCATGTTACATATGCCCCCCCATCAGCAAAAAGCGCACGCCCGCGTGCGCAGATGGTCATGTTGGACTTGATGGGCTGCTGTTGGGGCGATAGATGCTGGCACTCCTGCGGCTGCTGCTGTTCTCCTCACCGGTGCCCGTTCCTGCGATGAAACAGGGGAAAATTGGTGAAAAGGGATCCAATATGTAAAGATGTCAAGGCAGAGAGAAGGGTGAGAGGAATCAGCATGTCAGTCGCCGCATCTGACTCAAACGGCGAGTCATGATGCGGCGCCCGTCTCGCTGGTGCGATTGTGCCTCGGCACCACCTGCATAAGCTGGCCTGCAACCGAAAAGTCAAGGACGAGCAAGTAGAAGGTGAAACGCGAGGAAAGGCCGGACGAAAGCAGCGAAACTGCTGCGATGCCGGCCCGACCAGGGCCACAGCTGGTGGCTAGCCGAAGTGGCGCCTGACGCCGCTCCCGGCGCTGCCACTGGGCGAAAAGATGGAAAAAAGGCTGCTTTCTGGTGTCTGGATGCTTGATTGCAAGTCATCCAGCACCAATGTAGTTGTAATCACCCGTCCCGCGGCGCCAGGTCGCCGCCGACGGGGCGCCCGAGAAAGCCCCAACAAAGCCCCAAAGGTGGTGCCCAGCCCCACTGGGCAAAGATACTGCTGGTCGTCAGCGCCCTCCCGCGACCTAGCGCGTCGTGTGCAAGAGGGAAGATCCAAATAGGGATGCAACGTAAATAGCCTCTGGGGGCATCGAGGGAAAAAATAGAATAATTTGCAGGGATCCGCCTAGGGATCTACTAACAGTGAGCCACTTATTACCCACTCCCGCATCCTGCCTGCATGCACACACTAGGTGTAGTCGATGCGAGGTCCAGGAGAGCACTGAGCTGTACAGGCGGGATCGCCTCCCGTAAGCGATCCTCCGAAACCCACTCGGGATCGCGTGTGCCCGGCCATTTGACGTAAT